AATGGAAGTATTTATATTCCTTGCTGACAGCTGGTCATTTGCATTCTTTTATAGAGTCATTCAGGCCACTTGGAGGTTCATCTGTGTCCTCGGAGTCACCTGAGTAGTGCCAATGGGTGTGGAGTCTTCTTGGAACTACTGAAAGGCCTGTATTGTAGACTGGAGATAGATGATCTTGTATCCTTCTTCCTCTTTTGAGAAAGGGTTGTTCTATTTTGACATAGATGGCCTCAATGGGATATGACATCATCTATCTCCAGTCTGTAACACAGTCCTTTCAGCAGTTTCAAGAAGTCTCCACATCCATTTGCACTACTCAGGTGACTCTGAGGACACAGATGAACCTCCAAGTGGCCTCAATGACTCTATAAAAGAATGCAAATGACCAGCTGTCGGCAAGGAATATAAATATAGATGGTGGGGAATGGAATATCCTTCTATTCCTCACCATCCAGTCAGGGTTGAAGAAGCTTTCTTTGGTCTTCAAAGAAAAACAAGAAAATCCAGTTCCCTTGTGAAAAAGCACCTTTGGGACATACTAAAACTCTAATCCCTGTAACTGGAAGAAATAGTACAGCATAGGACTGAATCTTTTCAACCAAGGTACTTCAAATGGGCTAATTTACAATGTGCACCAAAAATCCAGGACACAGACTTCCATGAAATTGAAATTTGGCAAACTTAGAAAACGTCATAAAAGTTTATGACACAATATAAAATGTCATAAAACATTTGCTGTGCTACTGTTTGACTATGATACACATTTTAACATGGGGTATTTTCAAGATAGGATACATCTCTGAGTGTATGAAGGCAGAACATTAGAAGCTCGGTCATTGTTAAAAGCATTGAGGAACTCTGCAAGGAAATAGCTCACAAATGAGAGGTTTGTCTAATTGGAATTTAATGGGGATACTATTCTTTATATTATATTGTTATAAGATAATGTAACATAATATGTTACATTATTAGGTAACATGCTCTGAAATGCATAACTTTGTTCCATCAAACCAATGTGGCATTTAGTCCAGCATTTTGTGTCATATCAGGTGCATCCAGAAAGTCTTCAAGGATGGCTGGGAAAATAAATAAATACATCTTCTGCCTTATGCTTAAGGCACAAATTCTATGAATTAGAACTAGAAATAGCCATCAGAGCTACAGGTAGTCTTTGGCTTATGACCCCAACTGAGCCCATAATTTATGTTGCTAAGTGAGAGATTTGTCCCATTTTATGATTTTTCTTGCCACATTTGTTAAGTGAACCACCGCAGATGCTAAATTAGTAACATGGTTGTGAGATGAATCGAGCTTCTCTATTACTTTGCTTGTTAGAAGGTTCACAAAAGATGGTCATATGACCCCAGGATACTGCAAGCATCACAAATGTGAGTTGTCAAGCATCTAACATCAATCATGTGACCCTGAGGATGCTGCATCCGTCGTAACTGTGAAAAATGATCCTAAGTCACTTTCCTTCAATACTGTGGTAACTTCAAACTGCCACTAAATGAATTGTTGTAAGTTGAGGACTACCTATAGCCGCATAATGGTCCTTACCCTCCTCCTGGTTCCCCTTTTAAACCTCTCAAAATGAGTGCCATCAAATGGCAAAACCCAGAGTTGAACTAGCTTGGATCGGGCATATGTATGGGAGATGCAGTGATGTTTTCCCAGAGCACTGGCCTCCGAGGGGACCCTCTGACCACTCACCCCCCCATCCCCCTCTCAGCTGGATGCAGGGTTTCTGCCTGAGGTGCTGCTGTTGCATAGCAATCTCCGCTCTCCATGCCACTGCCTTTTTAAACAAAAGCCTTCCAGCCCTCTTGAGGAATTGGGAGACTGGACCCAAATTCAGTTTGGAGTGAAAACATCGGGCGCGGTCACGTGCTCTGGAGCCCGGCCGAGACCTTTTGAGGGCTGAGAACTCCTCGATTCCGCAGAGATTGATATTCTTTTTGTTCTCCGAGAATTGACAATAAGAGGCTTTGGTCCTCCTTGGCGGGAAAGGAGGGAGAGAACTTAGCAACGGGCGAGCTGTTTTGATCTCGGGGCTATTTGCTGGCCGAAACGGAGGGGGGGGAGGGGAAGGAAGATTTACACTTTTGGCGCTGGAGAAAAGGTCAGCTTTTACTGGACAGAAAGTTTGGGTGGAAAACAGCTTTGTCTTCACAGGCTTGAAAAACCTCTTCCCCGCGTGCTTGGGCGAGAGCTTTTCGGGCGGAAGATTATGCTACAAGTTAGCAAGAGATGGTTTGACGCATTGCACAGTGGCACCATTTTGTTCCACCTCCCCATTTTTATTTCTAAAAAAACCCTGTAATAAAACCATCTGTAATAAATTTAAAAAATCTGTTAAAACTATCTACAATAAATTAATCCATTTCTCTATGTCCATGTTTGCCATTTGAAGGGAACTTTTTTTAAAAAACGTGGGAGGTTGGGTTTTGCCGTTGAGCGTTTCTTTTTTTTTTTTTGTCTTCCAGTCCTTTTAAAAATGAAAGTCAGGGCTGCCCCTCCCTCCCCGTTTTGCCCAGAGCATTGATTCTGGCTCAAAATGGGATGGACAGGTGAAGGAATAGCAGCAAAGTTGTGTGCGTTTATGGCAACAACAGCTGTGTTTGTGCGTGTTGAGGGAACATTGCTTTTGCTGCATTCCTTAAATTAAGCTGTTTTTCCAGGGGCATGAGCAGACACACTGTTGTTCGCAAATGCTTATTCAGTCAACTTCAAAACCTGGAATTAATCATTTTTACCTGAGTTTTGTATTTTGCAGCAAAAAAAATGTCTTGGGCACCTCTGAAACTTCCTTTGCAGATTGAAATGGTATAGTCCAAAGTATTGCTTGGGTCTAATCTGATCAGGCCCTCATATTTCCAGTTTCTTTGGGTGGGTGGGGGTTGAATTTCTATCCTCAGCCACTTATTTACCAGGACTAATGTGAAAATCAGGCAACTGGTCTTTTTTTATCCCTCTTACAATACAGGTAGTCCTCAACTTACAACCATTTGTTTAGTGACTGTTCAAAGTTACAATGGCATTGAAGTGATTCACGACTGGTCCTTGCCCTTGTTTGTCATAACATCTGCAGTCATGTGATCAAAATTCTGGCAACTGGCATGCATTAAGATCAGGGGTGCTAACTGTCTGGTTTAGCAAAGGGGGAAAAAGTCCCGATATGTCACATGACACCGCCTTGACACTGCAAGTTTGACACCCCTGATTTAGATGGTTGCAGTGTCCCAGGGTCACAACCGTCATTTTCACCATTCCAGATGGCTTCCAATGAACAAAGTCAATGGGGGAAGCTGGAATCACTTAATGATTTAGTTAACAACTACAGTGATTCACTTAATAACCATGGGGGGAAAAGTCATAAATTGGATGCGATTCATTTAACAATTGCCTTGCTTAGCAATGGAAATTCTGGTCCTAGTTGTGGTTGTGAGTCAAGGACTACCTATATCTTTTTCTTGACCTAGAACCAAATGTACTTCACATGAAGCTGTTATTAAATTTCTTTTGGGGTGAAAGAAAGTAGCTTTTGTACTGTACTCTGTTCCATTGCTAATAACTTGAGGAAGGTGGAGGGAACAGTAAAAAAAATGACCAGAAAGCATTAAATATTATCTCCCAGGGCATTATGTCCTAGACAATAAAACAAAATGAATAATATGTGTAAGGCAAGTGGTCTGTAGCCTCCCCTGATACATTTGAATGATCATTCAGAGAGAGGCAACCTGAGGGCTTCGTATCATTGGCCTTCTCCTGATTCAGCAGCGCCAGTGGCAAATTGTGACCTAAGAAAGGAAGAAGCTTTGATACAGATAGTAAATACAGACCTCTCCATGAGAACAGCCAGTTGGAACATGTTTTGCAAATCTTTCAGAGTAGGTTGTGAAGTGAAGTGGAAATTCTAAATAGTAGCAAGCAGCGATTAATTTTAGATTTGGCTCACAACCAAAGGATTTATTATTTTTATTGCAGAATCTTGGAGCCAAGATTGCTGGAGCAAAAAGCTAGGGAAGCTGCATCTGTTAGAATGTCATGATTAGGGCAGTTCAACACTCATCTTTGCTGCCAATTTACTGGGTATCTATAGGCATGAGAACATCTTTCAGCCTCAGCTCATCAGCAGTAAGAAGATAGCATGTACCTACTTTCCATACATTATTAAACTTGTTTGTATGTGAATATCTTGTAACTATAATATAGATTACTAGTGGGACCTGCAAGAAAAGGTTAGCCAACTTTTCCCATGACCATATTAGATTCATATACATTATGTGATTTGTCTGGTTTTGACTTGGGGTGATAGGTGACTCTAATCACTGTGATTTGTAAACTTTTGTTTATAGTTTAATGTGTCTTATGAACTCAACCAAATATGGATTAGTAAGTATATAAGTAAACTACAGCTTAAGTCGGTGTCTCCAGTTTTAATCCACAAGGAGCTCCATTATTCGCTTCTCTTTTCTGCTGGACATCTTTCAGTAAGCTAAGCATCCTCAATTCTTGTACGACAGAGGGGTGGTTTTTGGAGAGAGGCAGAAGCTGCCTTCCCAATCTATAAAAATATTTTCCAACTCTTGCCACAGTGATTCCTTGTTTCCTGTGGTCCCATTTCAGTGTCAGAGTTCATTTAGGAGGTTCAATCTTTTTTATTGTGAATTTCCTGGAGACAGATGAAATATCAGTTCCTGAAATACTTAATGCTGTGGAGTCTGGTACTCTCTGAACTTGTTTTGTTACCCTAGTCAGGTAGCAAAATGTCTGCAAGCAAACAACCAACTCAGAGAGCATCAAGGACTCCAAAGTTCAACCCTGGACTACTTATATTCTCTTCTATTGCTAATCAATGCTGATCTGATATCCAGCCTTGTTTCTTTGATATTTTTATATCAATCTTTTATGATCTTCCCTGTTGAGTGGAAGCTGTTATGGCCTGTGGCCTGCATGTGTGGACTATACAAGTATCATAAAAAAGAAGCAAAAACTGATTCCTCTAGAGATTTTTATTGTTAAGAGTAGGGATTCACCATTGACTGCTTTGGGAAAAATAAAGCAGAGCCCACACATTCTCAAATACAAGGATCCCATTACATGTGGGAGTTAAAACTCCAGCTGGAGTCCTTTTCAAACAATGCCCCCTTTTATAAGCAACTGAGCAATTAACTCCCAGTGCCTGTTCAGGTTAGGGAATAAGTAAGATATCTTCTAGTTGGACCAATACCTTTCTGGTTCCACTGGAGGCTTATGACCCTGTTCAAGACTGTATACCACTCAAAACCTTACATACCGATACCCCCAACTTCAACAGCTGGTCCAAAGTTAGAAGTTTGACCCCTTAAAACATCATGCATTCCTTATTTTGTGAGATCAACATGGCAAACATCATCTAAGCATGTAAGTCTTTAATACAGTTGGTAACATTCAAAGAACTGATACAGTCAGAATCTGATTACAAGAGTTCCTCCTCCATGGTACTACAGGAGCCCTGCTCAAAGCCAACAGCCAGAACCCACTAAATCAGCGCTTGGTGCAAAGAAAACCCCCCCACAGCCAATAACAGTTGGAGTCGCCTCCTTTTATCTCCTTATGTCAAGGGTCTTCAAACTTGGCAAGTTTAAGACTTGTGGACTTCAATCCCAGAATTCCTGAGCTAACATGACTGCAGGAGGAGTTCTGGGAGTTGAAGTCCACAAGTCCTAAAGCTGTCAAGTTTGAAGACCCCTGCTTTATGTGAAACCATAGACTCATTGGCTATTGTCATTTGTGCCTGCCACCGCTGCAACAGTGCAATCTGTCTCAAGCTTCCCACTGCCCCCAGCATTTCCCAAAAGGAACAATCCCACCCTCCCCAGTGCCCCCCATTTCAATCTTGCCCAGCCTCCCAATGCCCCAATCGCAGAAAACAGTTGCTATCTTAGCAGGAACTGTGCATGCACACCACAAAGCAGCTACCATCTATGAAAGTGGAAGAGAAGGGAGACCAAAAAGAGGAAATGTAGCCTTTGATCAGGGAACAGTATATGCACAGGAGGGAAAGCTATAAAATAAAAGCCAAGAGAGAGATCATAGAGGAGGGGAGAGGAATGAACAAGCTAGTTTTATTTTAAAAGGTAGATGAAAAAACAAACAGGTCTAAGCCCCTGGAAGGAACCAGAACCTCAAAGACCATTTAGATAGATGGAATCAAGACAGATGAGACCAAGCCAGACAAGTACAAGGGTAAAAATGAGTTGGGTAGAGGAAAAACAACTCTTGTTTGGGAGCATTAGGTTAGCATGATAGTAGCAAGTCCTTACTGGGGCTTGTGCGTCTCACTTGTGAGGTCCTGCTTTTTATTTTTATTTTCCTCCTATTTACACTCCAGAGGGGACAAAAGAGAGCTAGCAAGGCAATAAGATGCCATCCGGCTACTCCAAGAATATATCACTAAAGATTTAGGGGGAGGAACATGGGTTAGTTATGATTATACAGGGGGGGAAAAAAACCAAAGCCCATTGATAATCCAAATCTCCTATATCAAGGAAGCTAAATGTGCAAGAGAATTAGAGGGCAAAGGGAAACATCAGAGGAGATACTGATTATCTGATAATTTAGAAAACGTGTAGTCTTCCATCCATACCTCCCTAGGTACTGAGGATCACTATAGATACCAAAGGCAGACAACACTAGCTTTAAGTTATGAGAGAAAGGAAGGCAAGGTTGGTAAGGAAGGTGGATATGATGTGCTGGATTTAAAGGTTGGGGGAGTTAATGTTTGTTTTAAAAAGAGTAAAGTTGCATCCCATCTGGGCCTCCTTGGACTTTTAGTACCGTTAGGGGAGATTGTCACCTGGCCCAGTGGCCGGAGTGCATTGTGGGATAGCAGAAGGAGTCCTGTTCAGAGGTGGGAGGCGGTCTCATCCCCTGGCCTGGAGCTCAGCAGGACACCTCCATGGTGGGGGCAGGTGGCTGTGGGGCTCCTGCCTCGCTGCTCTGGGACAGGGTGCGAGACCGGGAGCGATTCCCGTCCCCGGAGGTGGCGCTGGACAGAGAGGCGGTGCGGGAGCGAGAGAGGCGCGTCATGCAAGACGAGGCCACTGTGGAGAAAGAAAAAAATGAGAGGGAAGCAAAGTTAGATAAAACTCTTGCATATTATAAAAGGCAATTATCAAGACCTTATTTTGAATTGAGCCAATGATGGAGTAAGTGGCATCTGTACGAAAAGAAGGGAAAATAGCAAGGAAGATACCAGCAATGATCAGGGTTGAAAACAGTAATCCATAACCTTTTTGGCTTGGTGGCCCAGTGGAGGGGGGCGGGGAGGGAATGGTTCTGTGTGAGTGGCAGGCAGGCACATGAGTGCATGCAGCTCTAGCTACCCCTCGCACAAATGGAGTTCATACATGAGAATAATCACTCGCCACTTGTGTGGCCTAGTTCCAAAAAGGCCACGGCCTGGTAATGGGCTGTGACTTGGGGTTTGGGGGCTCCTGGTCTAAAATTGGCCCAATGTAATTCCTTAATTGGGTGCTCTCTAAGATCTAGAGAACAAGTAAGGAAAAGTGAGGACTGCTTAGACTCTAAAAAGGGAAGCCTATCTGGTACAAGAGAAAAATGAAGGAGAAAATTTCTAATCTTCTAGGATAAAAAGCATATATGCCTTGCAAGTTATTTTCAAATGTTTTCTATTGACAGCCTGCACTTTCTCTTCTTCACAGTTGGCACTTATCCACATCTTGGCTTTCTGGCTTTGGCGCCAAACTATGAAGTTGCATACCATCAGCTTCTGCCTTCCCCAATATTTAACAGAGCCCCTTAAAAGTATGGAGTGCAACAAATCATTTGCAGACAATTAGTACACTGACATAAAAAGGTTAATCAAGTGAGTGGTCTTATTTTGAAATCAAACCACAGTGCAGGATTGCTGGCAATCCTTATATAATAGCACATCAAAGACCATCCCTATTTGGGCACACAACAAAAATCCAAACAAAATGTCTGCTTCTGCTTTCCCACTACCACAGCAAACAACTCGGTGTTCTCTAGTGGAAAGGGGAGGTTGTGCATTGGGGAGTGAAGTAACCAGAGGAAGGGTGAGCAGACATGTTGGAGGAGAGAATTATGGGAGATGAGGGAGAAATACCATATAAGGTACCTGACCCCTGACTCAATTTCTTGTCCAGTACATGAGGGACTGAGGAGAAATAGGAAAGGATATCCTTAGGCTAAACTGATCAAGAACTTGTACTTAGAATGAATGTTCCATAATGTTCAAGGCCTGAGCTGATACGTTGCTCTAACTGAGCTCTAAATAGCCATGGAGAGAAGGTAGATGTAGAAGTGGGAAGGAAAGAGGGGATTGGGGCAGCAGGATTCAGAGAAAATGAGAACTTCTAAGCAATCCCAATTATCTGGAAGCATCATTTTGGGTGCAAGGACCAGCCAAAAAATGGGTAGTCCCAGGAATCAATTATGGTGAGTCCATGTAGTGTCCCAAGTGACAATGTCTTCTTTTTCCTAGTTTAGTTTATAATCTCCACCAACATTATTTATTTATTTATTATTTATAACCTCACATGTTATGTGAGATTAAATAACTCTGGTTTATTTATTAAACTACATCCAAATAAACCATGACTCGGTGTGCTTTGTGAATGCCATCTAGGGTACAAAAGGACCTTGTCAGGAATGTCTCTGCTCTTGGCTAGATGAAACACAAGGTTTTGCAGCCCTATAACTTATGAACTTTGGGGGATGGACAATGGGACAGAGGTTCTCAGAACCAATACTTACTATAACCCATTCCTTGCACAAAGTATTTGAATGCCTCTGTCAGTTTTCCAGGCTGAAAGATACAAAAAGACCAGAGAAAAACATTAAAAAATGCATATATGGAAAGAGAGGGTGGGCCCAAAAACTCTAAAGGTTCAATTACTTGCTTCCTTGCTTCCAAATTACTGCTCATTGACTATATTTGTGGGGAGGGGACAGCAAAGATTAGAAAAACATCTGACATGGAACCCCTTCAAATTTCTTTTTATGAAACCCATTAAAACAAATTCTGATTTCCTCACACAATGGGAGACGATCAATTGCAAGGGTCTTCAAACTTCAAAAACAAGTTTAAGACTTGTGGACTTCAACTCCCAGATTTCCTGAGCTAACATGACTGGAGGAGGAATTCTGAGAGTTGAAGTGTGTGTGTGTGTGTGTGTGTGTATACTTTGCTGATTTGAAATGCTAAGAACGAGAAGTGAAACTCATGTCATACAGGTTCTACAGCTACAAAAATCTCCATCTCTTCCCACAAAAGAGCAGAAAAGCAAAAACAAATCTAGGACCCTGGAGCTTTAGAAGAGGGTTAATCCAATGCTGAATATTAGAAGAAACTGTCAAACTTCTGGATTTCTCTTCTGCTTTTTTAAACTGGACTTCTGAGGGATAGTTGCAAAACTATCCAGCTCACCTTTCTCATAAAAGATCTGAAACCCAAGATCCAAGAGAAAGGGCACAAAGCAAGTGTTCCTTTAGGGGAGAAATACAGCCACTAGCTTCACAGTGGTTTCAATTACATTGCAGAACTTCATTGGAAGTCAATCAGCTCCAATGTTGCTTATGTGGAAATGTCTGATGTTTTCAAACTGGCATGGAGTACTTTTTCAGAAATGCCTACAGGTTCCGTGTCTACTTCTCCATTTCAACAGGGCCCTTTCGCCTCTGCAGACAGATTTTGCATGACTACTTTGGGTGGGGTAGAGCAGAGGAGACATTATTTCCCTAAAACACCTTGTTTAATGAAATTTTACTTGGTGTGTGTATGCACAACATCTTAGCAATTACCTACGATTTCTTCCAGTTTCTCAGAAAAAGTATTATAAGGTCTACTAAATTGCAAATTAAGGTAAGAACTAGCCAGCCATATTTCAGCCTACTGCGCTGTATGAACTAGCTCTTTGGATTAGTTTATAATTCACTATTTCTGCATTGATAATAATCACACTTTAATTCAATTTTCTGTGTACAGACCTCCAATGTATTTTGTTTTGTTGATTTGCACAAAGACAGTCTATGGGATATGGAGAACAGGACTGACTGACTATTACTAGTCTGCAATCATATGTAAGCATAATTGACAAATGTAATCACACAAAACATTCTGAAATACTCAAATAGAAGAAAGAATGATATATTAAGGAAAAAACACTTTTAAAAATATTTTGAAATGCAAAACTAATTCTGTTTCTAAATCTGCTTATCAACTTATTAGTATATTTTACTTGTGTCAGCTGTGGTTGTCCTCCTGAATCAGCCATCTGCAAGAAAGAGAAACCTAAATAAGTACACTTACCTAAAAAAGAATAAACCTTTCCAACATGATGATCTGATGCTGATTGAAAGGTATGGGAGCTATTTCATGTTGGAGAAATGTGTGATAGGATATGTTTACACAAGACTGTTGACTTGGTCTGCAGTCCCCCTGTAGGATAACAGCATATGATCTTGGAATGCCCATCTTGTGGCAGCTCAAAAGTAGTTGCTTACTTTCTGCTTTTCAAAAAATTATAGGAAGATAATCTATGACGGCATGATCAAGGTTAGTAGCACAATAGGGAAAATGGTAACTGAAACAGACACAGCTCTCACCTCTTTCCATCAGTTTTATCACCCTGCATAACTAAAGGGATAGGAACTCTGCAGGTTAGCCCAACATAATCCTGGAAAGAGTTTTGCAAGTTGGTATTTGGATACATCTGAAATGCACAGCCTACCTTGAGGAAAGAGGTCTGGGTGGGATCCAGTTTAGAATTGCACTCCACCTGAAATGAGAATAAAGCAGAGGTGGCATTCAGCAGGTTCTGACCAGTTCTGGAGAACTGGTAGTGGAAATTTTGAGTAGTTTGGAGAACCGGCAAATACCACCTCTGACTGGCCCTGCCCCCATCTATTCTTTGCCTCCCGAGTCCCAGCTGATCGGCTGGTTCTTCTTTTGTTGCCCTGCACAGGAGAACGGAGCTGGAAAGCAGGTTAGTGGGGTGGGGAGGGAAAAGGATTTTTCAGTAACCTTCCCCCAGGAGTGGGGAGGGAATGGAGATTTTGTAGTATCCCTCCCCTGCCACACCCACCAAGCCATGCCCACCAAGCCATGCCCACAGAACTGGTAGTAAAAAATTTTTGAATCCCACCACTGGAAGAAAGGTAGATAGCTTGAATCTAAAATAAACACAAGGTAAGAAAGAACACATTTTGGCTTCTAGGTAAGTAAAAAAGAGGCAGGAAATAGTCAGAATCTACTTACCATTTTGTGAAGCTTTTAAAAAAGACAAGTCTTCATCACTTACCACAGCATCTTCATGCGGAGCCTGGTCTCCCACCACCAGCATGATAGGACATCTGGCAAGAAGGCAGGAGAAAAGGAACATGGTAGAAAGTTAGAATTGGAGGCCAAATTACTATAAATTGCTTGCAATAATCCGTTTTAGACCTACAAATTTAGAGATTGACTCCAAATTATGTAAAAGAGCATAAACAGTCTAATCATGGGGGCGGGGGGATGTAACCAAGTAATCAGAATGTCAAAACAAAAAAACCCAAGAACAAACTTTATTAATTTTTTTTTGTTTGGTGGGAATTATGGGTCAAAAGATTTGGAAGTAATGCCAAGTAAGTTGGTCTAATATTGAGGAAAATATGAAGGGAGAGATTAAGGGAGAGAAAAACTGAAGTCAAGAAACAGCATTCCTAGATGCTTGATTACCGAGTTAACCATTTTTAGACCACATAATGCCTTGATTCAGAAACCAATGAAAAGAGCCAGGTTGGTACATCGTGCTAAATTAAAATTTCAATGCAAAGCCAATGCATTCTGCAGTTCACTTTCTAGTAACCTAATTAAACCTGCCTTGTCAGCACAGCCAGAATTTATGGACTATAAAGGGCTAAAGGTGGCTTGCTGGAGTTATTCAGATCATCAGGGCTGCTATTGTTCAAGAATTAAAGTAGGTGCTGAAGACTAGAATTCTTTTCTTTTTCTGCCTACACACACACACACACACACACACACACACACACACACACACAGGCGTGTGCCCGCATGCACACACACACACACACACACACACACAAAAACAGCAGGCTGATCTATTATTTTCTCCCTCCATTGTTTACTTCTCCTTATCTCTCTTTCTAGTGATGAATATTTCTCTTGTGCCAGAATGGAGAGTGATGGGGAACATTGGCAGTTAATATAAAGTGAGATAAGGCAAGATAAACAAGAGATGAAGAAGAGCGTGCCTTGTGCATTGCATATTTGTATTTCCCCATCACTTTCTGTTGGAGGGAGCCTTTGACTCCTCCCTTCCTTATTGGCCATGTTCAGGCAATAACTTGATTTGCTAGACCATGGTTTAAAACCTCCAAATCTGGGTTCATAAATTTATGACTTATTTAAGTCATAAATAAGTAAATTAGGTTTGGGTTTATTTGTAATGTGAGCACAGCCAGTTTAGCATAGCTGAAGAAACAATTGCAGTAAGAATCTCAAATTTTCAAATGACAGTTTTACTGTAAGAACAAATTCTCAAGACACAAACAATCCAATAAACATCCCCCTTGAAACCTGGGAAAACAGAAGATGGGACACTGTCGCAGCAACATATACTCAGCATTGGTTCTTTCTTTTGCAGTTGGAAGACCCTCAAAGAAAAGAAAAGCCCCTAAACTTCTCTTAATTTAATTTAAACCAATTTGTGTGGCCCCAAAAGACACATCTATGAATTGCTGCAGACTTTTGGCAGGGACATCAATCATATGTTAGTCAGATGCTATTTCTTTGCACGAGACTGCCTCTGAAAAATTGAGGCAGACATTCTGTAGGTCCAAGTTCCAACATGAACAAGTGAGGGGGCTCTGTTTAGAAATCCCCCTTCTAAACACATTCAGAGAGAAATGAGGCAGACTTCTTTATGTATATTGAAGTGGTTTGCTGCTGAATTTCTGTGGTTGCTTTGACAGAGAGAAAAAAGTTATTGTATTTTGCTGTTCCTCCCTTACCCCGGTTTTGGCCTCTTCTGTGTAGGACTTACATATAATAAGACGAGCAGCAAAATTAATTTTCCCTTAGAGCAAATATATAGAAGCAGGAGGCCCAACTCCCTCTTGAATTTGGCAGAAGAATCAAGTCCCACATGGATCAAAGGACTCTTTTGCATTCTACCAAAGTTGCTGGCATGAACACCTGAACAGATGTCTTGCTGAGTTTATATAAATTCTGGATTTTGGGCTGTACAAACAGAAATGAAATGTCTCTTTCCTTTAGCACTCTTTGGGGATTTCTTTGTCTATACAGACATTTTATTATCCAGAAAGCTAGTAGGTGACAGGTAGAAATAGCATCGGCGAACTGAATATTTGGATTTTAACAGCAGCAACATCAGTAGCAGACAAAGAATGGTAATTTTTCAGTCCAGCCTCAAAACAGGGACCCATGGAAAAGAAAAAAAAGCTGCCACAGTTCTTATATTTAGACCTAACATACAACATGTCTTTTTTTAGTCCCTCTACACTCTTTGACTAGCAGTGTGATTTTTGTTTCCCTCTTGCCACTTCTAAAAGTTATTCACATGGTGACATCTTTTATTTTGGATTAATTAATTATGCAAGCAAGTCTCTGAGGCTTCAGAATGAGGAGCAAAAAGTAGAGAAGCATAAGTCAATTAGAGTACAATGAATTAGAATGAAAAGCAGAAGGGCAGATTGGGGGAGGGGAGCACTGCTTTATTTTTAAAAAGTTCTTTTTCAGTTTTTCTCCCTAATGATTTTAAAACCTAGGGTATAGGTGTTTAGACATCAAACAACTGTATAAAGAGTTGCCAGGTTTTAATACCTTAAACCACATCTTTTTCTGGCATAATTTTTATCTCCATACTGTGAGAATTTTCATTTGTAGGATATTAAATATAGGTCAACCCATATTTTTCATTAGCTGGCAACTTCTTTTCATCCGTGATTTTTAGTACCAAATTATCCCAAACTGATAAGTATGTCCAACGTCACGCCATTGCTAAGTTTTCCCTTTTAAGGATTCAAACTTAATTACATGTGAACTCCGTCAGAAATGTTAGTGGTAACTTCAGATGGTACATGCATAGAACAAATAAATGAGCTTAGAAGATGCAGAAAGGTTAAAGATTGGTTGACACTCACTTGAATGTGGTATCCCCTCCACGTTCCAAGCTCAAATCTCTGCGGCTATGAAGAAAAAGGAAGGGAATCGTAAATTACTACTTCAGCCTCCTTAGGATAGCTTTTTTTTACACCAATTACCTAGTCCCTTTCTCTCATTTTCTCCACAAATATAGAAACATAGAAAACGGATTGCAGAAAACGACCTAGTGGTCCATCAAGTTGTGCTTTGAGGTTATTTGATTTTTTGTTTTCTTTTTAAACAATTTATTATTTTTTAATTGTTATTTTTATATTTTTTAAATTTTTGTGGGATGATGGACATGTGTTTATCCCAAGCATGTTTAAACTCATTTACTGATGATTGACCCACTTCATTCCAAGCTTGCACTTCTTTCTGTGAAGTAATACTTTTAACATTCCCTCCTGTCAGTTTGAGGTTATGCTCCTATATTCTTGATTTTTTGCTTAATATTGAAAATACTGTCTTCTAGAACCTTATTAATACATTTAAAAGTTTCAGTCATGTTACCCCTTTTCCTTCCGTCTTCCAGGCTGTAAATATTCAGTTCCTCCCAACTTGATGTTTTGTCCTTCAGACCTCGTGCCCATTTCTGGACTTGCTCAATCTTGTCAATGTATATATTTAAATTATGTCTAGAACTAGACATATTATTCCAAATGGGGTCTGACTAAAGTCCTATATAGTGGGATAGGAATATCTTTTTTCCAGCTGGTGATATATCCAGTTAAGCATCCCAGAATTTTGTTTGCCTTCACAGCTGTCTGGCCACACTGTTTATTTTGAAGTCATCTGCTATGAGCACACCCAAATATCTCATAACCTGGCTTTCTACTTGCTTTCCCTGATCATTTCTAATATTTTTGTTGGTGTTGTTTACATAATTGCAACCACAAGATTTAGAAACTAACCTAATTTGATAAGTGAAACCTCCAGCCTTTAGAATGAATGTTTCTAGTGTCACAAATTTGGTAGAGTTTTTAATATTTTCTTTTCATGTGGAGAAAACAGGTCTATCAGATTTGGATTGCAAGTATCATGATGGCAAGATATCTAGATGGCAGCATAGAATATGCCTTCTGAATATCTTTGCTGCCTTTTAGTGTTTGTGTGGATTTTTGCAGACAAGTCTGATAGCTCCAGGAAAGCACCTTTAGAATCCTAATACATATCAAATATATAATACTATGTCCAGTGATTTATCTATTTCAGCATTTTTCAAATCTGGCAACTTTAAAATATGAAGATTTCAACTCTTATTAGTCAGCATTCTGGTGCTTTGGGAGTTGAAGTTCATACATTGTAGAATTGCCACAGTTTGAAAAACTGAACTATTCTGTATTGTTATCATTAATGATAAAAAGTTTACAATTTTTAAACTAATATTATATGGGATGGCTTCCACAAGATCAAAATTAAATATAAATACTTAAGTCATCTTCCTTTCAAGTTTAATAATTAATTCACTGATTTATATTATGGCATTTCAATACAATGCTCAAATCCCCAGGGCCTAGTTTTTCCAAGGTTGTAAAGAGAGCAGAGACTAAATTTATGATTGAGTCATATGAAAATTGCCCATTAGAATGGCAATTCCTAAGCTGTAAATTATGAAGGAACTCCTGAAACAGATCCGGAAAAGTCAATTAATTAAATAATTATAGAATCTTGTAAGTTTTGGAAAAACCCATCCAGGCTCAGCTTCATTTGAAGTAGGAGGCTTTCTTAGGCCTATACAAAATACTTATGGGTCCGTGATGGCTACTTTAGATGCAGATTGTGAATAGGTGAAGTATCTCTTCTCAAGTACTAACCCCCATACGCTAGCAACCAAGAGGAAAGTGTTTGAAAAGTTTATGTTTAGACTGGGTCCTTTTCCTTGGACATCCTTCTCCCCATTCTGTCCTAGTTTGTTTTCTACACATAGGACTATTCTGGCAGCCGCTGAGAGCTTAACCTAGACTCAGCCTTGCCCTGTCCTCCCTGTCCCCACAACCTGTTGTAACTACTCCAGTAGAGTTGAATGTTGGGTAAATTTGTAGCATGACTCAGGATATCCCGTTGTTGTTGCACCATCTCAGTGTTCTTGGAAAGTTCCTCCTGTGGAAGAAGAGGAGTGTTACTCCTGTAACTTAATCTCACCATTACTCCATTAAATTTATCTACTCTCTAAGGCTGCCAAGTTTTTAACCAGCCTTGTTACTTGTGGCTTAACATCTATCTCCTTTGGCAAGGGATTTTCTGCCCTCGATGCTAAGAAAATGTATGTCTGTTGACTTCTGCACCTCCAATTGATGTTAAAGACACTGAAATAGACCCAGGTTTCTTTTACCATTTTTTCTTAATCCAACTGTAATTATGATTAGTCATATAACTCCAAATCAATGCCATTTCCCCCGGAAAATAAATATTACAAATAGAATGAGGAATGAGGATAATAATAATAAAAACCCTAAACTTCTAAAACAATGTTTCTCAGTCTTGGCAACTTTAAGATGTATGGATTTCAACTCTCAGAATTTCCCAGCCAGCATGGAATTGAAGTCTACACACCTTGCCACAATTGAAAAACACTGTTCTAAAGTAAATAGTTCTAGCCTGCTTTCAAAAAAGAGGAATTATTTTCCTTTTGCCAATTTTTATTTATTTTTTCACTATAATATCAATTGTTCTCCAAGAATCATTCCAATTGCCTAGCATAGCTGGAATAGAAAGTAACCAGCAGTCTCTTATATATTAACTTTTGATGTAATGTAATACAGTTCAATACATGCATCTTAAAAAGCCTGTCCTAGTATTACCAGAGAGCTGGAAGTGAAGCGAGACTATCTTATTCTGATTTTTTATGTACCATCCATCATTTGTTTATTCTCCTACTCAGTGATGGGATTCAAATAATTTAACAGCCGGTTCTCTGCCCTAATGATTTCTTCCAACAACCAGTTCACCAGACTGCTCAGAAAGTTAACAATTTTCCTGAACTGGTGCAAACTGGCTGAATCCCACCACTGCTCCTACTGGTCATCCATACCTGGCTGAAGAGATGTCCTAGGATCATCTCAGAAATGGAGGAGGTGAGGCCAGTAAGCTTAAGATAAAACAGAATATGATTAGAGGACAAACAGAACATTATTTTGAAAGGGCAAAACTGATATTTGTACAGGTAGTCCTCAACTTATAGCCACAATTGAGCCCAAAATTTATGTTGCTAAGTGAGGAATTTTTAGGTGAATTTTGCACCATTTTACGACTTTTCTTGCTGTATCTGTTAAGTGAATAACTGCAGTTGTTAAATTAGTAAACACAGTTGTTAAATGAATCTAATTTCCCCATTGTCCTTGCTTGTCAGAAAATTGCAAAAGAGGATCATATGATTCCACAACACTGCAACTGTCGTAAATGTGAATCAGTTGTCAAGCATCTGAATCAAAATCACATGACCACAGGCAATAGTCATAAGTGTGTAAAGTGTCATAAGTCACTTTTTAGTGCTGTTGTAACTGTGAATGGTCGCTAAATGAGCTGTTATAAGTTAAGGACTACGTGCACAACAGGAAAACTAGAGTCTTTAAACTAAAGTCATTGGCTTATGCCTCCATAGCTTAAACAGTGCTCAAGCCTAGAGATTTTTTTTGTTTAATTTATATGCCACCCATCTTGCTTCAATAATGATTTAAAGGTTGATCCTGCCAGTATGCAATGCACCACAGGAAAAGGTGCTTTTGCATGTATACAAACTGTATTTTGTTGTATCTTTTAATTACGTTTAAAATCCCTGCAATAAAGAAGTTGTCCTTTAGATACTTTTTTCCACTTCTATACTTTCTAATCTTTTTTTTTTGTTCTATATCTCCAAAAGTTGGGAAATAATATCAGAATAATATTTAGTTAATTTTCCTAGATGTTAAATGATTTGCTTTTTGGAAGCTAAATGCATTACCTTTAGTTTTAAGAAATAATGAAGTATGTATGAGAAATGTGCCAACTTTGTTTGAGTGTACTTAAATCAACTAATAATGGCCAGAGAAAGTAAGTAGGAATTGTTCCATTCATTGTCCATTCTCAAGAAACTGTTGTAGAGAGTCAGAGATGAGCATTTAAATGGCTTAATTTAAAAACTGGAAGAATTGGGAGTTTCCTATCACTTGATGAACTATGCTAAAGTGTCCATCCCCCTATCAATATATCCCTATGTGAAAACAATAAACTATTTTAGTCTCTAAATCACAGCAGTGGACTGACACATGCACACAAACAATTGCTGATCTTCTCTTGAAGCTATTTGGCCAACATTTGGTATTGTTAACACAATTTTAGCAAAAGTGTGACAGACAGAAGTATAGTTGTTCCAGATCCTGGATAAAATAATTAAATCTTACAGAATAAATGAAAAATAGCAAGAAAGTGCTTATTTCTATAAATAGCAAGAAAGTTGCCCCTCATTGCTTTAATCAAACACTGATGGTCATTTTAATTACTTGTTATAGTCCTGTGTAGTTTGTTGGCACACGATGAGCATCTTCCTCAATCTTACCTTATGAGCAGCCCAATCCATCCAGCCCTTGGCATTGGGGTCAATGTTTATCAGAACCAACCCCTCCACAGTGTCTGCATGGGAGAGCTGTGGGAAAATAAGAACACTTAGAAATAACCATAATCATGATTTAACTGCAATGACACAGCTCAAGCATACTTTAGAATAATTCATCACATTCATTATACATGTTTTCAGACCTGCCCAAAATATACAGTAGAAGTAGGCTATAGAAAGAGATGTACAATGTTTGCATGGTCCATATCCATGTCCAAACTTCAATGTATACTGACTGTATTCACATAACATGCTTAACCTCATTACTGAATCAATCTACTTTCTGTATTGAACCACAAGCTCACCAAATGGCCTGAATTGACACCATATACTAACCACATTTATTGAAAATATTAAAGCCACAAGATCTTGGTTACATATAATAAATACCAAAGCCCAACAAAGTGGACAACAAAGACCTAACACAGTATCACTAAATTTGGATTATTATCATGAGATTTATCTACTGATCGGGGAAAACATAATATAAGAAAAGTCACTAGAATGACTAGTGAGGTAAAATACATTTTTCATATTCCAAGGTTAAAGCTGGTTTATTGTAGATGATTAGTCTGAGCCCGAGGGAGGGTTCAAGCACATCATAAGACACGAGTCCCTGTTTGCCCATAAGAGATCTAAGTCCAGGCCAGTCTTGAATGCTTCTCTTATCTTTCCTGCATTTCCCTTAATGGTCAGTTGGTCAGATTCTTGTAGAGGTTATGCTTGTAATAAATGTTTATACTCATTTGAATTGCCTGAATCTCCTGTTCTCCCTGGCACTTGATAGTTATATAGTTTTGTATGTTCCAATGGTTTGAAATCCTAACTTCTATCAGCAGGACACTGGGAATAATAATTGAAAATATCTGAATGACGCATCAATATATTCCTGGGCTAGGGTGTTGGGGACTTTTAGTTGGATGTGAGGGAGACAATGGGGAGACAACTGGCAGATAATAGTAGAGTTTTACCAAATTAAAAACAACAAAAAGGAAAAAAGGAAAAGAAAGGAGTTTCTGTGGATTTTACTGCGCTAGTCTTTAGTGACTATAGGGGGTAGTTGTTCATCTCTGTTTCAAGGCTGTTGACCCAGTGCTGTCCGAAGACATTTCTGTGTTCATAGCATGACATCACAGAACGCTGTTTCCTCCTCACTGAAGTGGTACCTATTTATCTACTAGCATTTTCATGCTTTCAAACTGCTAGATGGGCAGGAGCTACACAAAGATAGGCAGTTATCCCACTGCACAATGTTCACTTTTCAAACCTGGGCTGTTGGCTTTCCAGCCAAGAAGTCCAATGTCTTAACTACTGAGCCATTGTGCCATCCCAAAAAACAACTATATTAAAAACAACAGGGGAAAATGGAAATACTTTTTCACTGTCATGGGACCATGTGGGATTCCTTATTGAAACAGATCAACTGAAGATTCAGTATGGACAAAGGAAAGCACTATTAGTTTACTTCACAGAAAGTGTATAGTAGTTACAGTACAGTACATACAGTAGAATGCAACCACACAGGATACAGAGAGATTGCCAGTTTAGAACAGGTGGCTTTAGTTACTATGATTTGGGGCATCACAGAAAACAACTAAGCAATTTTAAAAAAACGTATTAAAGGAGATGGAAAAAGGAAAATACGAAGTCTACCAAGGATGGTGGTCTGTGATAATCACACTTCCTTAAGTCTCAAAATGATACAGATGTTTAGCAGAAGATATGTTATTATCAGTTAACAGAAGCAACTTGAGACTTGAGATAGGCAGAAGATGAAGCATCCATGATACAGCACTACTTTTTTTCTGTTTTTTTGGTTTTGATAGGGAAAATCCTTCAACTAGATCATTTACTTCTACTTTCTTCCCCACTATGGATACCAATTATCAAAACCTCTTAAACACTAGAGTGACAGTTTTATTGCAACAACATTTATGTTTAGAGGAGGCAGTGTTAAGTGAATCAAATTAGGCTTGGGGCAACCTAGGTTGACATATTCCCCACTCAATCAAGAAACTCAATATGTATTTTACTTCAAATGGTGGTTGTATTTTTTTAAAAGTGCTAGCTCAAGGATAACATGACAGATAATTGGAGAGATATGTTTTTTATGCCTGAGAATTATAGTAGTTAATCTAATTCAACTCAGAAGTTAGATTTATATATGTCATTAAACTATGGTTTGTTGACTAAGTTTCAGTAACTGAAACACATCTAGCTCACCTTTTAAAACATGATATAGTTTTATATAACTAGATTTTGGCAAGATGGAAAATGTAGCCACTGAATTCAACCCTTAGTTTCTGGACTTTGCAACTAATTTTCAGGGACACCTATGGGAGAAATAAGATTCAGTTGCCATCTTTTCTGAGGATTCTCCTGGATTTGTTCGCCTACACAAGACAAGGCAAGACCTTGCCAGCTGACCCATCTGAATACCACACAACTAAAAACCTCACTGTGAATTGTTTTCCTCCTTAAGTCAGGAATCCAGCCACCCTCGTTGCCTTAAGAAAGTTCAAAACATTCTCAAGGATCCATCTCATCCTGCCCCCCCCCCTTTTTTTTAATTATTACCATCTGGCAGATGGTACAGGATAATAAAAAGGACAAATAGTCTGAATAACACCTTCTATCCCAGGGAAGTAACTCTATTGAATTCTACTGTATTCTGCAATATTAATGCAATATCAGAGGTTTTCAATTCAATGTATAGAATGTGAAGGATGTGTGTTTGTGTTTATTTTCATAGTCATAATGTACACTGAATATGGTATTTAATTTCATTGTATGAGATGCAATGACAATAAAGTAAAGTGAACTAAACTATGAATTGTTTTCCTACTTAGTCCTGTTATAGTCAGGAACCCAGCCACTCAGAGGCCTGATCTGCTTGTGACTTTCAGAGATGAACAAGTCACCCTGACTTAAGGATATGACCATGCCCCTTTGGCATGCAGAACATGTTTGCCTGCATGACAGATGCTAGGCCCTATTTCACTTACACTATAGCGTGCCAAGATATATGCTCCAGCTCCAACTCCAATTCCAATGATGCTGGTGAAGCTGTGGAAAGGAAAAAAGAGGTTGCAAAGGGCAGTGGAACAGGGGTAGCCTTGATTCTTCAATGAAGTTCAGGTAGAGAAACAGTTTTCAAAATTTGTTTTCGACTTGCTGATTTTGTACTTTTAAAAAAAAAGTATTCGCAGTTTGAAATATCACAGGTTGTGTTTGTCACAGGTTGTGTAATTTTACCACCACTGTTTCCATTTTTTGTCACTCTCTCCTATTGTCTATGTTTATTTATTTACATAATATGGGTTGGCATCTACAGCCTGAGAAGCCTCATAGCTGCAGAATTTTTGTTATTGTTGCTTCAGTTACCCATTTATTGGTATCATTGTTTCAGTTCCAGTAATTCTGAGATATAACATAAGCCCTAAAACAGACTTATCACAGTTATTTTTAAAATAGCCCTCTGTTAAGAAAAATGAAACTGTAGTCTTACCTATAAGTGTAATTACTCAAAATTTTAAATACATAGAGCTCATCGTGACAACTTAGTTTATAATCAATCATCAGGTTTTAAGATGCCCCTAAATCATCTTCTAATGAATTACTATATCTATATTTCACAAGCAGTAAAATACCAGATGGTAGAGCTGTGCAATGCCTCAACGAATGAACACAGCATCTGTCTTCAGCTCTTTAAAGCAGCTACCTTTTCCCCAGGATTATTCAGTTGCAGCTGCTATGTGATCTCAGATAAGAAGACAGAGAATATTAAGACATGGCTGCTTTAAATAGCTGTAGACAGATATGTTTTCAGTTTCACATCCTCCAAATAAGCATTTTGGAATCAAATTCAAAGCAAGACTTCCTTCCCTGTCCTGACATCCTATCATCCTCTCCAGACTCACTTGACATATTGCAAGATACAGGGGATCATGTCAGCCAGCTGGTCCAGAGAAGGATACTGATATCTAGAAAGGTAGGAGAGAATAGGGGCTGCATTAGACAGTTTGATCCTCTTCGCACCCAACACTGCAAGTGGGGCAGGAATGGAGGCTGCAAGGCTCACCCCAGAGGGAAGGCCGGGGCCCCCTCCTCCATGCCAGGTGCGTCCACATGTATCACCACGAAGTTCTTTATGATCTCTTGCATGTCCTCATAGTGGAAGAGAGTGTCGAAGCACGAATGATCTGGGGTGGGGGTGGGGATGAGGAGACAGAAGAAGGGGGTGTCAGGCTGCAGAAGGGCAAGTGGTCATGCCATCAGAAGGGCAAGGCCTAACAAAACAGGGACAGCCCTGCTTGGGAAATAGCCATAGTTTCATGGGTGCTAATCAATGTGCCACTATGATATTTTGCTTCACGAGGCAATCTTCTACATGTTTATTAAGAAATACATCCTCTAGTATTCAGCAACATCTAGGAAATATGTAAAGCGCTCCAATATTTGCCACAAACACATTTCACAAGAAAGCAAAATGTTCAGAAGAGTGGGTAAATCTGAATTAGGCACCTTCCATGCCTCCATGTAAGAAAAACTGAAGGAGGGAAGCCTTAAGGGAAGATTCAACCAAATGGGTGGATGGAGAACTGCAGAATAGGCTGCAAATCATACTGAAAATGTTTTTTAAATATATCAGAGTTTGAATTTGGAATTTTAATTTTAAAGAATAAATACATTAAAAAAAAAATAGCAAGTGATGGAGCAACATTTTCTAAACTTGAGGTCTTCCAGAAATGATGCAACTGAATTCTAAGAGAGGGCTTAACACGTGGTATGGGACTGAAGAAAATTGGTATAAAATTTAAGTTTTCTTTTTTTAAACTTAGAATTGCACTTTTGGTTAGGATATCAAGAAGTTGCCTTTCTGTAATTCTTTTCTGCCCCTTAGTGGCTACCTGCTCTTTTGCAATTCAGATCTGGTATTGTTAATTTTGAGTGGAGGCTGTGAAAGGGGCAAAAAAACAACAACCCTTCAATAAATCTGCAAACACATTTTGTGATGATTTAAACTTTTTGATTGTGGAAGGAAGAATATAAATGCTATAAAATACGCATGTAATTCTCGCAACAATCCTATGAGAGACAACATTATTGTTTCTATTTTCCAAAGAGAGAACCACGTGTTTTGACTCGACATTACACTTGCCTTAACGATGACTGTTCCAAATCTCTGCTGAGAAATTGAACATTTCCTAAACCCATAAGCAGAAATAGCCAGATGGAATAAAAATATTATGTACGGTAGAGAAAGAACAGCTCATTTCCTTCCTTTGTCTTCTGTTTACCTCTTTTATTAAGTGGCTAATTTCTTCTAGCAGTTGGACGAAGGAGGAAAAGGGGGATGGAAAATTAGCTGCTAAGATAAGAAGTGATAACTAAGGGGAAAATTCAACCGGCAGCACTTCATTCTTTTCCCTTAATATCTCCATATTTTACTGCATGCTGCTGGATGAATTTTTGCAGTGTGCAGTAGACAACAGCTTTGGAGAGGCATGCAGGGAGGCAGACTCAGTATCATCTGCCTAATATCCTCATTCAAAGATCATTACGCAGTCAGATCAGAAAATCTGGAGTGTTACTAAGTGTTAGTTCGGTAGCAGAGGTAGGTTTATCCAAATGAGAATATAAACAGAGGGCAGAAGAAAGTAGAACATTATCCATAGATCAAAGGAAGGCACAGTAATCTTACTAAAGATCACAGAGACTTCTTTTCTTTCTTGCTTCCCTGCCTCCCTTCCCCCTCCTTCTTTCCTTCCTTCCTTCCTTCCTTCCTTCCTTCCTTCCTTCCTTCCTTCCTTCCTTCCTTCCTTCCTTCCTGCCTTCCTTCCTTATCTATACTTTTGCAGCCTAGGTTTGATAGTTTAGTGTGGTAGGTCAAATTGCAGCATGCTCCAAGTTAAATCCCAGTTCTTTAATAATAGCAGTGACCAAAAATTGTTCCAATCATTAAATTCTTCAATTTGTAATAATTCAGATATACATTTGTATTTGTATATATAGGTCATGTCAATATGTAGTCATAAACTGCAAAAGAACTTGTTTTCTATTTCCATTACTTTCCCTCAGCTACCACTTGGAATTGTGGTTTAGTTGAGCTTTTAATAAAACACAAAGTCAACACTGCATGTATATACATACATAAGTTTCTGACCTTGCCAAATGAGAAATTCTTGGGATTTTTCCAGAACAATAAGATCTTTTTAAGGCTATATGAGTTTTACTGAAGTTCTATATACTCTCTTGATGAATTGTGTTAACTGTGAAACTCCCTGTTTCCCATCACCCACAGCCCTAACCAAGTGGATGTTCTGATCTTACGATTTTGTCCCACATCATGATAGGTGAGGATAGCTGGACGTTTGGGCTTGGGTGTCCCGTGGATGGTGATGGTCACAACCCCATAAGGTGTCTCCACTGTGTGTTTCTGTAGAAGAAGAAGAAAGACTAAGATGAACAGCTGAAAGATTGAAAAGATCCTAGCCCTTTGTGAGTAATTGCAATGAGGATCATCCTGAATTCACAGAAAGAGAAGTTAAATTGTGAGGATTGGTGAGACCTTCAGTGTTTGGGAAAACTTTGCATGTTCACAAGCACTCATTCTGCGATATGGGATCCAACAAATTAGGATGCTCCAAATTCTATGTAAATGAAGATTGTATGCATTTATACACACAAACAAAAAATATTCTTATGGAACCCAGCATCAATTACAGCTTTTCCATATAAAAAGGCCAAATAACATGCTGGGGGAAAAAGTCCTTTGGAGCCAAAAGACAACACAGAACTGGCACAAGTTCAAACATTACTCAGGGTCAAGTCAGTTATGTATGTGAGGCTAGGTAAATATAGTGTCTGCATAAAAAAGAAGCCATTACTGTACACAAATGTAAAAAAAAATCCTGACTTTTGCAGAATTAATTAGCTTATTTTGCAAAATGTTTTCTGCTTATCCATATAACATTTGCCTCCTTCCAACTGTTCAGTTTAGTTAAATTGCTAGGAAAAGAAAGCAAAATAACTCATAATGGAATACTTCTGTATCTCTAAATTAAAAGTTTAATTTTTAAAAGATCCTGTGTTGAAGGGAAGTTCTCATAGCATAGATACAACTTACAACAGTTCGTTTAGTGACTGTTCAAAGTTACAATGACATTGAAAAATGAGACATATGATTGTTTTTCACACTTCAATCATTGCAACATCCCTATGGTCACGTGATCAAAATTCAGATCCTCATATTAATGATGGTTGCAGTATCCTGGGGTCATGTGGTTAGCTTTTATGACCTTCTGACAATATCAATGGGGAAATCAAATTCACTTAACAACTGGGGCAAGGAAGGCTGTAAAATGGGGCAAAACAACTGTCTCACTTAGCAACATAAATTTTGGGCTCATCTGCAGTTGTAAGTTGAAGACTATCTCTAAAAGACAGCATTATTCCTTATCTATGAGCTGCACTGTCCTGTTACCTACCTGACAGCTGAAAAACTGGTATTTCTTTTCCTGCTTCCTTCTCACCATTTATATTTCCATTTAAGGGATGGGACCTTGGTTCCAGAAGCCTTTATTTTAATGAAAACCATTGCTATTGGAATTTTGTATCCACACTGAAAACAATTACATCAATACCGTAGCTGTATAAACTTCTATTTTGACATGTTTTTTTTGACTAAAAGTGATTCTCGACCTCAGCAACTTTTAAGATGTGGGGATTTCAACCTTCAGGATATTATGGTAAAAAGTAATACTTATTAAGTTTTATGGTTCCTGATAGCTCGTTTTCTGCTCATTCTTACTTGGAGTTCAGCTCAAGGTCCATATTATACCAGTTTTCATCCTTCAATATAAATATTAAATTTATAATATATAAATATAATCTGTAACTGTTAAACCTATCTTGAAAACACTGTGCGCTGAAGGACTTGGCAGGTTAGAAAGTGTGACTTTCAGAGCAAGTCTTGCTTGGCATTTGTTAATGTTGTCTATTCTACCACATTTCAGAACAAGTGCTCAATTCATCAGGGAGAACAGACCATTTCCACCTTGTAGTTTTCATAATGCCCGGAGAAGGACTTGGGTCAATAATGAAAAACAATCAAGTTCTGTTTTGTTTTGCTTTAAATTCATTGTTTATTCTCCCAGCCCTTCCTGCTAAGATTTTTCTCTAATGGCACACAAGTGAACTCAATGTGTTCAAAAGCAACTGGAGAAGCAGGGAAGGGCTGTGTCATTTGGCACCCAAAGATATTTCTTTCCAGAACCAAAATAACACAAGGCAAGAAAAGGAGTGAAAGCAGAAAATGAACAAAGCAGTTCAGAAGACAGGTAGACAGTTTAGATGTAATGAGTTTCTTGAGGAAGGGAGTCACAATTTTTTTTTAAAAAAGGATTGGGAACTCAAGGATTGAGATGAATAACCTTGGAGAAGCTCACCAAATGAAACACAATGTGTACAGGTAGTCCTTGATTTACAACAATTCATTTAGTGATGGTTCAGAGTTACAACAGCCCTGAAAATTGTGACTTATGGCCATTTTTCATAGTTACAACCTTTGCAGCATTCCCATGATCATGTGATCAAAATTAAGATGCTTGGCAACTGGTTCATGTTTATGACTGTTGCTGTGTCCCAAAGTTATGTGATCACTTTTGTGACCCTCTGACAAGAAAACTCAATGGCGAAGCCAGATTCACTTAACAACCGGGTTACTAACTTATCAATTGCAATGGTTCGCTAGAAAGGTCATAAAATGGGGTGGGGGGGGGGGGTGTAAATCACTTAACAAATGTCTCACTTAAAAATAGAAATTTTGGGTTCAACTGTAGTCCTAAATCAAGGACTACCTGTATTGTGTATTGTGGCTAATGACTTTTCTCTCCCTCTTTTTTTAGAAGCTACTGTAAAAACTAAAGCTTTTTCCTCCCCCTTTTTTTTTAGAAGCATAGGGTCTTATATAATGGGTAAGGTGTTTGACTGACTGAAGAAACATAGATTCCAGCTCTCTGTTGACTCAGCTCAATCCAACCTACTCTACAGGAAAGGGATAAATTGGCAGGAGGCATGACTTCCCAGAGACAAGCAGAAAATAATGGTTATTATTTTAAGTAGAGATTGAATACCTGACCATAGTTCCATCAAGCCAAATAGGCCACTACTTATGCATTATGGGTTGTCAGGCTTGTTGTATCTTACTTATTGCTTACATAAGCAACCTGTACCCATTTTTGGATGAATTTGTGCTGCAGGAGAACAACCACGTAGTGGAAAATCTCAAGCATTAAAGAGAAGAACTCGTAACATTTGCATATTTGACCCAACCCTGTATATTTGGCCCATTTTCTAATAAGATGTACAAACATGTTCTGAAACTTCTGGAATGGTGTTCAGTTCCTACTTGATAGGGTAATAAACAGCAATTTTATTTAATTTGGCTACCCAGACAACTTTCTGGTACTGGCACTTAATGGTGCCCTGAAGCACTGTTTGTCCAACATCAAGAGAAGATCAAAGTGGGGAACCTGAATGTTTATATCTACAACACAACCCACAGAAGCTCCTAACAATATTCATGATTGTAAAGTTACAGGCAGACCACCCCTCCCCCTGGAACTTTTAAAAAATAGGTCAATAGTGTTCCTTTCAATGTGTCAGTTATTTCTTTAGCCTGAACAAAAATGGTCAGCGATAAAAACTGGAATCCATAATGTGCAGCAGTGAGAAAAGTTGCAGTTCTAATATTCTGTTACAAGACCCCCTTCCCACTTAATGGCCTGTCCATTTATGAAAACTTGTGTCTCTTCAAGCAGTTTTATTTTGGTCTCAGCAGTATTTTAGGTGACAGGTAAAAACCACTCCATGTTGACACGACATTACAAAGTTATTTCTCCTGCCTTTCTTTGGATGCATTATATCAGCTACTGTTAGAGGACTGAAGTGTAATCTAATCTTGTATTGTTTTATAGCCTCTCCTGCATTCTGCTTTATCAGTTGTAGTTTTTATTACTTTTGTAGCAATTCTAGAGGGGTAGCCTCAGAGCTGCTGACAGTTTGGCAGGGGCCTTGGCAGCCCTTCTGCATAGGTTCATCAAGTCCAAGGAAGCCATTTCCTCACAAATAAAAAAGCCAGATAGGGGCAAAATTGGTGAGGCTAGTAAAGGCCTTCTGCCTCCATAGCAAAAGAAGGTCTACCAGCAATTCTAACAGGTTCTCCTTCGTTTTCCTTCCTTTGCTGAAACAAGCATCAGAAGAGGCAAAAGAATATACTCAGTTTTGCTAGCAAGCACATACTGGAGTTGCCTAAATTATTTGATTCCACTCATAGGGATGTCCACAAAGTAAGTAAAAAAAAGTCAACATAGCTACAATTGTGTGATTTTTGACCTTTTCTTCTTCTTTGCAGCCTACCTACCTCTCTGTCTACCCAAGGTGTAACTGTGTTTCCCAAAGAGCCCTTTTCAAATGACAATCTTTGAAACATGGTGGGGGATTAAAAGAGTGCCACAGCAGTAACCTGGTTTGGCTTGGCTTGTTCCTGTGGTTCTCTTCAGAATGGAAGGCTGATCCTAAGTAAATACCCAAAGCCAACACTAAGCTTCATTGCCATCTTGGAGGAAGGCCATAACTGATTTCTTGCACAGAATTGTCATACTTAAACGAAAGGGATGGGACATAAATTCAAATTTTGTACTGTATTCTAACTTTTTCTTCTTCCTATCCAAATCCTAGTTATGTTTTCTCCGAACTCTTTTCTTCCCTATTTCTTTCCTCATTTTTTAATCTTTCTCAACTAGCTATTAACATTCTGGAGCTCCTGAATACGCTTAGTTTTTGGTTCAGCTGTTTGTATACATGCTTAGATTTGCTAATTATTTGCTTTGTGTCCAAACCTAAAATGAAATCACTATCGCTCTATTTTTTTTTGCTAGCTCTCAGCAGCAAACATTTTATTGTCTGAAGGAATGATAAATAAAACTAAATGTGCAACCGACTGAACAGGATTTGAACAGCTGGTAAGCTTGGGGGCCAAGTCTCCTGGATTCACCCACGAGTTCAGGAGATGGAATGTGAATGTAAGAGGGCCAAACAGTTCAAAGTAATAAGCATTTGCTTATAAAGCTGCTGCAGCCAAGGGTCACTCTTCTAGTTTGAAGCATGGGCTTGGCTTACCTCGCAGGAGGTTAGATGATGTAATAAAACTTTTGCAACAAGAGAAATTACCAATTGTTATCCAAAGTAGGCAAAAGGTTTTCTTGTCCTCTTTTTAAAAAATATCTGCAGTGTCATGTAACCATACTGTAACTCTGTATGTAAATATTTCTCTTGTAAATATGAGGGAAGAGAGCCCATATGATAACTTTAGTGCAGTCAAGAGGTTCATGACTAAGCAATTATCTCTTTAGGTACATGAAAGGCAGGTGTTGC